TGCACGATTGCTTCCCATGTCAGCGTCTATACTCAAGCTTCATTGCGCAGCGCAACCGCGCAATTTCCTTCACCGTATGCGATAGTAAATTAATTAGCTCGTCATTCCTGAATAATACTTATTAATTAAGTAATAACATAATAAATTTACTCCCATTTTTCGATGTCTATTCATGGCGACTTTTCGTATATCCCGGCTGCGGTTTGCGCGTCTAACCTAAATCTTCGGAATTTCGAAAAATGAGGTTAGATTGTGTTCAGGGCGAACACAAGTTTTTGACGAATGGGTTTTTCTCCCACTGGGCAGTGATCCTCGGAATTGCTCTTTAGCGACGAAGCCTCGCCCCTCTATTCCTAACCATCCATTACATGTGTTGATGCCTTATATGTTACCCCAGCGGCAACTCCAAAAAAGTAATAAATTCATGATACAATACTAATGTCAAAGCACGGAGGGAGAGGTAAATTTCGTGTTATCTGTTAACGTGTTTGACCCAATCCTGCGACGTTCATCCAATCCCATCTCTCTCTCCCCTCCCCCCCTCCTCTCCTCCTCTCCCCTCCTCTCTCCCTCTCTCTCTCCTCTTTTCTCTCTCTCCCCCTCTTTCTCTCGTCCTCCTTCCCCTTTTCTTCTTCTCTCTCTCTCTCTCCGCTCCTTCTCCTCTCCTAATTGTCTCGTTGCTCATGTGTCGTGTGTTGCGTGCCGCGGTCGTGCGTGTGCGTAGTGCTGGTGCGTGTGCGTGTTCCGTGTGTCTGTCCGCGCTGTGCGTCTGCGTGTGCGTGTCGTTTGCGTGTGCGTGTGCGTGTGCGTGTGCGCGTGCGCGTGTGTGTTCGTTCGTGCATGTGTGTGTGTGTGTTCCTATCTCTGCTTCTCTCACACTCTCTTTCTTTTTTTTTACTTATCTCTCTTTTTGTCGTGTCGCCATGTCTGTCTGTTTGTTCATCTACGACTCCCCTATATGTCTATTCGTCCATCCATCCGTCCGTCCGCTTTTCCCTATGTCCGTCTGTGTGACTGTCCCTAGCTGTCCTGTTGCCTGATTGATTGTCTGTCTATCGTTCGGTCCGTTAGTGTGATTTGCTGTTCAATACAATCATAAAATTATATTGTTTGATGTATACTCAGGCACAGTCAAGTGGATATGGCGGTCACAGTGGCGGCTATGGTGGCGGCTATGGTGGCGGCTATGGCGGCGGTTACGGAAGATACGGAGGAGGATATGGTGGCTACGGAGGTCATGGCGGAGGATATGGAGGCTACGGAGGTTATGGCGGAGGATATGGAGGCTACGGAGGTCACGGAGGTGGATATGGCGGTTACGGTCACAGCAGTCCACTAATTATATATTTGAAGGGCAGCAGTACGAAGAGCGATACCCACACAAAAAGCAAAGGTTACATACATCAACTTATTTCCCAACACCACTACTACCCACACTATGGCGGCTATGGCGGCGGCTATGGCGGCTACGGCGGCTACGGCGGCGGCTATGGCGGCTATGGCGGCGGCTACGGTGGAGGCTACGGGGGCGGCTACGGCGGCGGCTACGGTGGCCGCTACGGTGGCGGCTATGGCGGAGGCTATGGCGGCGGCGGCGGCAGGTATGGTAACCGTGGATATGGCAACAGTGGATATGGCAACTCCGGCTACGGCAACTCTGGAAATGGCAACAGTGGATATGGCAATGGAAACACGGGTTATGGAGGCGTTAACAGCGGCAATTCTGGATACGGAAATGTTAACACGGGTTCCGGAGGTACAACTGGCAATACTGGTTATGGCAATTCCAACACAGGTTATGGTAACACAAACACTGGCAACACTGGGTATGCAAGCTCTGGACAGAATACCTATAGCAATACTGGCAACACAGGTTTTAACAACGCAGGCGATACAGGTTACAGCAACACCGGCAACACTGGATATAACAACATTGGCAACACCGGCAACACTGGATATAACAACATTGGCAACACCGGCAACACTGGTTACAGCAACACCGGCAACACTGGTTACGGCAACACCGGCAACACTGGTTCCAACAACATTGGCAACACTGGTTACGGCAACACCGGCAACACTGGTTACGGCAACAATGGTAACAACAATGTGGGCTATACTGGCTAAAAATAGATGTGAAGGAGCGAGTTGTCGTGCTAGCAAGATACACAGACGTTCGCTAAATAATGTGATAATATGGGTTTCAACAAAACTCCACGCAGATGTGCATTTGTTAATGTTTTAGTAGTTAATTTAAAGACATCATAAAGGTTTACAGATTAGCTTTCTGTATTTTTGTAATGATGATTGTTGAGGTAAAAGTAAGGTGTCTGCAATCGTTTCAATGTTGATAATGTAGAAATCCTCCTTTTTTACTTATGAAGCAGTTTGATGTTTAAAAGTTGTTTGTTCTATGTATGGAAAGCTAACAACGCTACACTAGTATAAAGGCTTCTGATGGTATTTACTGTTAAACCTCGTTAGCCACCGTTTTGTTGAACATTTGTACATAATTGCACTTAGTTGAAAATTGTTTGTTGTATACTAAGTGTTGTTATCACGCGCATGTAAAGCATAAGCGTAAAATCATTTACATGTTGTGCCAGTATTGTTCATGTTGTTTTATCAGTAACATAAAATAGATAAACATTTTATAACTGTATATTCTTTCATTCATACACAATCAATCAGACTATTCGAATTTTATGCATAATATCAAGAACTAATAATACCTCTCTAATGCGCACATCCCGCGGAACTTCGCGTCTCATCCGCGCGCAGCGCTTAGGATCAACAGCAAAGCTGTGCCACGCAATCTTGTATCATGTCTCTCTAGATAATATATGTTTTTATAAGAACCCGCCAATAGCAACAATTTTAGCCAGAAGGTGGCGCTCTCGTCTCATCAGGCACCGGCATCACAGAGATCAGGTTTTATGGTCTACGCGCAATAATTCCAACTCATTGCAGACACTTCCAAAGCAAGAAAAGCAGTTCAGCAGACCACACGTCAACTGTTACCGAGCGTAATACAGCGGTCATGATGTAACCGGAATCACACGTGCAGTGATAAACGCACAGAGAGTTTGACACTAACAATTCTTTCAGGGCAAAAAATAGCTACGACATTACAGAATAAGAAGCTGATCTCATTTTCTATGCGTGCGTGTGTGCGTGTGTGCGTGTGTGCGTGTGGGCGCATGTGTGCGTGCGTGTATGTGTGTATCTGTATGTGTGTATGTGTGTATGCATGTGCGTGAACGCTCGNACACACGCACACACACGCACGCACGTACACACACGACACACACACGCACACACACACACACACACACACACACACACACACACACACACACACAAATGCATGTGTATTACAAGTACCCATCTGTGCGAACTTTCATTAAACCAAATTCCTTAGGTCGGAATAGGCATTTGCCTTACATGCATATAATATCAGCACTAGTAATTCAGAGAGTGACCCACATGATGGTATTACATAAGCAAACTGTCGACTCACGTACACGCACACCCACCACACCTGCTGACTGAACTAGGGAGAGTAAAAGTGAGAAGTGTTTGGGAGAATG